GGGGGGGGGGGGCACTGGGAGCCAAACAGGGAAGCTAAAATATAGGGGAGCCTGCTTCCAAGGCCAGCAGCTCTCTGGGGAAGAGAAGGAAGGCTTTTCCTAGCCCAGCATCACCCTGAGAATTCGCCTCAGCAGGGTTGAACTCAGAGAGCAGAGATGAGCAAATGAGCGCTAGAGAGGGTAGTGAGGGGCTTCAGGACTCTCAGGGTCAGGAAGCAAAACTGCTGAAATTTCAGGACTTGGTCGTGGGCTGGGTGAATGGGAGGGGGCAAAGGAGGAGGGAAGTGGGGAGGAGAGAGACCTCACTATAAAAATAAAAAACAAGAGAGAGAAGCGTTTATGGGCCTATGAAACGGTTGGGAATTTGGACTTTTTATGAGGATATTCTCGAGTTACTACTCTTGAAGCTGAGGACCAGACTGCAGGGGCTTTGATAGCTTTGATAGCTTTGATTTCCTATAGTTTTAGGAAACTGAAGAGGGGGGAGATGGAGAGGAAGCAGAATGCAAAAGGAGTGAGGGGAAATTCCTAAAGCAAAACGTGCCCAAATTCAGGTTCAATTATTGGGTTTTGGTAGCCTGGCTAAGACTGGGGGTGGAGTGGCAGGGATCCTGGGCTGGAAAGGGTCTCCACTGACCCCTGCCTGTGTTTGGCCCTCCAGGCAACCCCGTGGCCAACTGGATCCACGCCCGCTCCACGAGGAAGAAGCGCTGCCCCTACACCAAGTACCAGACGCTGGAACTGGAGAAGGAGTTTCTCTTCAATATGTATTTAACCAGGGACCGTCGGTACGAGGTGGCCCGGGTTCTCAACCTCACCGAGCGGCAGGTCAAAATCTGGTTTCAAAACCGGAGGATGAAGATGAAAAAGATGAATAAAGAGAAAACCGACAAGGAGCAATCCTAAGCCCTGCCCCGGCCTGCTGCCTCGGCACAGCCAAGGGAAAAACAAAAAACCCACAAAAACCCCAGCCCAGGCGGCAGAGAGCACGAAAAAGAAAAGGAAAGAGCAAGATAGAGAAAAGCCAATCAGCTTAAAAAGAAAAAAAAAGGAAAGGGAAAAGGAAAACTCTTGCGATTTGGGAGGGTTCAGTGTTGAGAAATTGGTGTTTTAGAGTTAGTTCTACCCAGCGAGGATCAGGAGGCGGGGAGAGAAACCGCATTCTCTTCTCCCAGCGCAACTGAAATAAATGACACACACAAATGTGATTTTTTTTTTCTCCTTTCTTCAGAGAAGCCAGTACTTGAATCGCTATATTTCTAATTTTTTTCCTCTATCTTATTTGGTCCGGGCCATCTCTCCCCAGGCCTGGGGTGCTCTGCGTGCAGATTTTGTACAAAAAAGATACACATACATACACAACAATGATTCCCAGCCCAGGAGCTGAGGCGCGAGGGCCGGGATGGTGCCGCAGGCTGGGTCCAGCGGCGCAGGCCGATGCCTCGGGCATGTACATAGCAGTGTTTCCTATCATCCCCAGCGTCCGTCCTGTAATGTGCTTCTGTTTGTTATGGTAGAACAGCTCTGTGTTAATATATCGAAGTCACTTAAAAAACCAGAAACCCAACTGCATCCAGTTCTCATTATTTCTCCTCCCTGTGGCTCCCAGGCTGCTGTCGTGGAGGAGGCAAGTGCTCAGATTCTTTGGGGGAGGCTGGAGCCAGGAAGGGGCTCTCTCGCACTCGGAAGGGCAAGTGCCTGCTGCTTCTCTCCAGGCAGGGTGGGGTGGGGGTGAAGGCTCCAGGGGTGGGGTGGAGGCTGCTTAGGCCTGGGTACAGTTTATGCCTGCTCCAATAGCTGGCTAGGAGTTTCCTGGTAGCTCAGTGGAGTCCAGGGGGTGGGGGCATGGCATGAATGGTTTTCCCTGGCTGTAATTAATTGTAATAATTTATGAGTACAGGAGATTGGAGGGAAGAGATAGGTGAACATGAAAGTTGGGTGCTGGGTGAGGGCCCGGGCTGGATCCTTGCCTGGCTGCATCGGTGCTTCGAGGGATGACTGAGGGGGTTGAGTAGGAAGGGTGTGCGGTGAGGAGGAGGAAGGCCCGCAGGCCTCAGGGAGAACAGGCACTGAGGACTTCGTTGAGAGTAAAAGGAGGAAGGTGCT